GAAGAGGGCTGGGCTTCCAGAGAGGAGGAGGAGGAGGAGGAGGAGGAGCACTCGGAGTTGGGAGATTTCGTTTGGTAGACATTTCATTACCCAACTGGGTAATATCATCAGTGCCACTGAGTACAAAACAGGAAGCTCAGAGAGCACCCAGGACCCCTCGATTTCAAGCCTGAGCTAGAGAGATTCTCCTGGGGTTTTCCCAGCTGAGCCCCTAAAGGCTGGGAGGGGGGAGTGGGGGAGGGAGTTAGGGCTGCCCTTATCAGACGGGGCTGCCTCAAGGGGTGGGGGTCTCCTTCTGCCCAGAGCTCCAGCTCCTCCCCCCCTGCCCCCCCACAGCTGGCACCCCTGAGCCCCACCTGTGGGTTTGCAGTGCAGCTTCCCGTCTTTCTTGGTATCGCAGACCTCCCCAGGCTCACAGCCGAAGTCCTGGCACTTGATGGCCCCCCCTTTGCGACAGCGGCACTTTTGGCTGCAGTGGGGGGTCAGCCAGCTCTCCCCGATCTGCCAAAGGGAGGGGGGCCTGGGGGTTAGTTCAGGGCCACGAGGGGAGGCCCCTTCCGCAGCCTTGTGGGGCTGCTGCTCACCACCGTGGCTGACCCCCCCCCAAGGCCAGGCAGCTGTGGGCAGAGATCGGGGGCTCCGATCCCCTGCAGGCAGGAGCCCCCCCGCTTACCTTGTGGTACCGTCCGTCCTTGTCCTGGCAGCCGCACTGGCTGAGGGGCACACACTGGTCGTCGCTGAGCACGAAGCCCTGGTGGCAAACGCAGCCTTCCAGGCACTGCCCCCCCGGGGGCTTCTCACACAGCTCCCCCGCGTAGATGTTGCTGCAGGTGGGCGGGCAGGGAGGGGCACAGGGGGAGTAGAAGCTGTTGGGGGGGCAGGGCAGGGCTGGAGGGAGGGAGACAGGGGGAGGGAGCCAATTAGCCGTTGTTGGTTCTCAATTGCAAAATGCATTTGCTGCCCATCTCGCTTCAAAGCGACTCTGGGGGGCTCACAGGCCCAAAAACATTTCAACCCCCCAAGACCAACATGCACCCCACAAGGAAGCCCTGGACTTATGACCACAAGGAATGGCGAGAATAGAGCCGGAAGGGACCTTGGAGGTCTTCTGGTCCGCTTCTCAAGCAGGAGGCCTCATGCATTCCAGACAGAGAGGATGGAGGCCCAAAACCTCCGTTGCTAAGCGGGACAGTTCTTAAGTGAGTTTTGGCCCATTTTGCAACATCTCTTGGCACGGCTGTTGAGTGAATCTGGCTTCCCCATTGGTTTTGCTGATCAGGTCACTAAAGGGGATCATGTGACCCCGGGGCACTGCGACCGTCATAAACATGAGTCAGTTGCCAAGTGTCTGAATTTTGACCACGTGACCCTGGGGATGCTGCAACGGTCATAAGTGTGAAAAATGGTCACAACTCACGTTTTTCAGTGCTAAGTGTAACTTTGAACGGTCACTAAACAAACTGTCGTAAGTCGAGGGAAGGTGGGGTGACTCTTACTTAACCCACCAGCTCCAGCATGAAGCTCCCCCATTGGGTCCC